TGGGAATGGGTACCTGTCAAATTCGGGTACCTGCTCCTAAAGGTACCAATCCTTAATGGGGAGCGGGGGAGCAGTCCTTAAAGCGAAACTTCCCCTTTTAGGTGGAGCTCCACTTTAAAGATGTTTTTACTCCCTGTATTTTTTTTCTTCTGTTACCCTTTTGGGAAGATTTTCTATTGGTTCCTGTTGTGTCTGACACCCATCATGACATAGACAGGAGGTGATGGGGAGTCTTTTGAACAACCCAAGCTGAGCTTTAATTAAACCACATGATTAATGGGTTCCTTTTGGGGGATCTGATTTTGAGAACTGTGGTTGGTTGTTTTTACACCTGCCATTGCCCCAACAAAATGGTCCTCTTCTCCTGATGGACTATTATTTTTCTTTTGATTATGGAGGAAGCAATAGAAGTGACACCACCACAATGTGAGTGAGAGAGGGGCCAGGAGCTATGGTGGGGAGATGTCTTCATTGGAGGTCTCAAGGGACTAAAGAGAGCCCTTTGGAGGCACAGATTGCCCGTGTTTGTAGATTAAAGGTTTATTTGCACTGGCTCCAACCTTAACGGATATGCTGGAATAGTTCCTCTGTAGCTAGTGCAACATCATTAATTCAAACATGATGTCTCCTGCAAGGCTCAACCTGCAACCTAGTTTACAAAAATTCTGTATGGCTACAAAAAAAATTATTTAGTACCACTTAAAGGAGGTCCTCACAAAAAAAAAGGCTGTGCAGGTTCTGGTAGTTGCCAGGGAATCTAATATATCACTTTGACTTTAGTGACAAGCTTTCTTTATTGGAGGTCCTGGCTCTGCCTGAGTAATGTAAAAAATAAAGGCAAGAGTGAGGGCCTGTCTTGGTTTACAGAGCTAGGAACCAAGATGTAGAGATCTCTCCTCCATAGCCGTTTTTGAGAGATATAAGAAGCTGGTGGGTCATTCAACATTTATTCAGAATCAAAATATTTTTCATTTTACAGGGTTTTCCTTGGAGGCCTTAACACACGTTGACCCTTCCTTTCTCACTTGCATGGCTGAGGTGTCTCAAGTCTTTCTGCTCCTGTCTAAATCACGTAACCGGTTTGAAATAATCCAATTAATCTGAGTGAAGTTTGCATGGGGTGCCCTAAACTGCCTTCTCCTCTCGTCTTGGTTTGGACATAATCCCAGTCTCTTGCTCTCCCTTACAGACACTGATTTTGGTAAAGACGATGGAATAAGCTTAATTGGTCTTTCTGATGTCCCTCTTCCACTTTTCTCATGGTAACTTTGGCCTGGTACTTTTCTCCTTGGTGTGCTGTTCCTCAGACTGCTTTGCATTTCAACCGCTGCACTAACCACTAATGCCCTTTCCATTTGCCTGCTGCTTGTTGCCTCCTGTGGCTAGAACGCCGGGTCCCCTGCCTCTTAAAGGGAAACTGAGAGTTTTGGCATTTATTTATTTTTTATTTGTTTGTTTTTACTACTTATATAAAAGCTTTAAATAACAGATATTAGAGACACACATGACACTAGTTTTAAAACATTTTGCTTTTTTTCATATAAGAGAGCCCTTCGCAGAAGCTTTCTTTTTCTCATCCTCTTTCCATCCATCCCTTTTCTTGTCTCCTGCCATCCCCCTTCCCTTCGCCTCCCCTCCCCTTCGCCTCCCCTCCCTTCCCTTCGCCTCCCCTCCCTTCGCCTCCCCTCCCTTCCCTTCGCCTCCCTTCCCTTCGCCTCCCCCCCTCCCTTCGCCTCCCCTTCCCTTCCCTCCCCTCCCTTCCCCCCCCTTCCCCTCCTTCCCTTCCCTTCCCTTCCCTTCCCCCTTCCCTTCCCTTCCCTTCCCTTCCCTTCCCCCCTTCCCTTCCCTTCCCTCCCTCCCTTCCCCTCCCCTTCCCTTCCCTTCGCCTCCCTTCCCTTGCCCCTCCTCCCTTCGCTTCCCTTTCGCCTCCCTTCCCTTCGCCTCCCTTCCCCTTCGCCTCCCTCCCTTCCCTTCGCCTCCCTTCTCCTTCGCCTCCCCTCCCTTCCCTCCCCTCCCCTTCCCCTCCCCTCCCTTCCCCTCCCCTCCCCTCCCCCTCCCTTCCCACCCCCTCCCCTCCCTTCCCCTCCCCTCCCCTCCCCTCCCCTCCCTTCCCCCTCCCCTCCCTTCCCTCCCCTCCCCCCCTCCCCTCCCCTCCCCTTCCCTCCCCTCCTTTTCCCTTCCCCCTTCCCTTCCCCTCCCCTTCCCCCTCCCCTCCCTCTCCCCTCCCTCCCCTCCCTCCCTTCCCTTCCCCTCCCCTCCCCCCCCTCCCCTCCCCTCCCTTCCTCCCCTCCCTTCCCTCCCCTCCCTTCCCCCTTCCCTTCCCCTCCCTCCCTTCCCTTCCCTCCCTCCCCTTCCCTTCCTTCCCTTCCCTCCCCTTCCCTTCCCTCCTCCCCTCCCCTCCCTCCCCTTCCCCCTCCCCTCCCCTTCCCTTCCCCCCTCCCCCCGCCTCCCTTCCCTCGCCTCCCCTCCCTTCCCTTCCCTCCCTCTCCCTCCCTTCCCCTTCCCTCCCTCCCCTCCCTTTCCCTTCCCCCTCCCCTCCCCTCCCTTCCCTCCCTTCCCTCCCTCCCTCCCTTCCCTCCCCCCTCCCCTCCCTCCCTCCCCTCCCCCTTTCCCCTCCCTCCCTCTTCCCTCCCCTCCCCTCCCTTCCTCCCTTCCCCTCCCTCCCTCTCCCTTCCCCTCCCTCCCTTCCCCTCCCCTCCCTTCCCCTCCCTTCCCTTCCCCTCCCTTCCCCCTCCCCTTTCCCCTTCCCCTTCCCTCCCCTCCCCCCCTCCCCTCCCTTCCCTTCCCTTCCCCTTCCTCCCTTCCCTCCCCCCCTTCTTTTCCCCTCCCTTTTCCCCCCCCCCCGCCTCCCCTCCCCCCCCTTCCCCTCCCCCCTTCCCCCCCCTCCCCTCCCTTCCTTCGCCCCCTTCCCTTCGCCTCCCCTCCCTTCCCTTCCCTCCCCTCCCATCCCTTCCCTTTCCCCTCCCTTCCCTTCCCTTCGCCCCCCCTCCCTTCCCCTCCCTTCCCTTCGCCTCCCTCTCCCTCCCCTCCCTTCGCCTCCCCTCCCTTCGCCTCCCCTCTTCCCTTCGCCTCCCCTCCCTCCCCTCGCCTCCCCTCCCTCCCTTCGCCTCCCTCTCCTTTCCCTCTCCCCCCTCCCTTCCCCTCCCTTCCCTTCCCTTCCTCCCCTCCCTTCCCTTCCCCTCCCCTCCCTTCCCTTCCCTCCCCTTCCCTTCCCCCTCCCCTCCTCTTCCCTCCCCTTGCCGTTTTTTCTCCTCTTCCTTTCCCTCCCCTTCCGTTTTTTCCCCTCCTCCTCCCTTCGCCTTCCCCCCTTCCCTCTTTTCTCTCCTTCCTCTTTGCCTCCCCTTCTCGTTTCTTCTCCTCTTCCTCTTTGCCTCCCCTTCTCCGTTCTTTTCCTCTTCCTTTCCTCCCCCTTCTCTTTTCTCTTTGCCTCCCCTTCCTCTTTTCCTCTTCCTCTTTCTCGTTTCTTTTCCCTTCCTCGTTTCTTTTCCCCTCCTCCCCTTCTCGTTTCTTTTCCTCTTCCTCTTTGCCTCCTCGTTTCTTTTCCTCTTCCTCTCGTTTCTTCTCGTTTCTTTCCTCTTCCTCTTTGCCTCCCCTTCTCGTTTCTTTTCCTCTTCCTCTTTGCTCTCCCCCTTCTCGTTTCTTTTCCTCTTCCTCTTTGCCTCCCCTTCTCGTTTCTTCTTTTCCTCTTCCTCTTTGCTTCTCCCCTTCTCGTTTCTTTTCCTCTTCCTCTTTGCCTCCCCTTCTCGTTTCTTTTCCTCTTCCTCTTTGCCTCCCCTTCTCGTTCGTTTCTTTTCTTTTCCTCTTCCTCTTTCCTCCCCTCCCCTTCTCGTTTCTTTTCCTCTTCTCTTTCCCCTCCCCTTCTCGTTTCTTTTCCTCTTCCTCTTTGCCTCCCCTTCTTCGTTTTCTTCCCCTCCTTCCTCTTTCCTCCCTCCCCTTCGTTTTTCTCCTTGCTCCTCTTCCTCTTTCCCTCCCTTCGCCTCGTTCTTTTTTCTCCTCTTCGCCCTCTTTGCCCTCCCCTTCTCGTTTCTTTTCCTCTTCCTCTTTCCCCTTCCTCCCCTTCTCGTCTCTCTTCCTCCCTCCCTTCCTCTTTGCCTCCCCTTCTCGTTTCTTCTCTTCCTCTCCTCCCCTTCTCGCCTTTTCCTTCCCTTCTCGTCCTTCTTCCTTCCTCTTCCTCTTCTCTCCCTCCTCTTCGTTTCTTTTCCTCTTCCTCTTTGCCTCCCCTTCTCGTTTCTTTTCTCTTCCTCTTTGCCTCCCTCCCCTTCTCTTTTTCTTTCCTCTTCCTCTTCGCCTCTTCCCTTTTTTCTCGTTTCTTTTCCTCTTCCTCTTCGCCTCCCCTTCTCCGTTTTTTTCTCCTCTCCCTTCGCCCCCCGTCTCCTTTTTTCTCCCTCTGCCTCCCCTTCTTCCTCCTCTTCCTAGTTGCTGAGACACTTGCATTTGATTGTTGGTGTGACCTGTCTAATGAAGATCCAGAAATTGCTTGTAAAGTTTCAAGGTCACCAGGGATGCAATGCAGGCACACTGGGGGGAAGCAACTAATGTACTAAAACTTTTTTTTTTTTTTTTTTTTTTTTTTAAATGTGAATGGGGGTCGGCCTAAAGGGAAATGATTGGGGTTCACATATATATATTGTTTGGTCCTACATTCTGCCTAATAGTGCTACACTGTGCAGGAGATAGTCTTTTTTAAAATATTTTCTTTATCTCCATTTTGTGGTCCCCCCCCCCCCCCTCCATTGCCTGTATTTGGTATTTTCATTTCACACTTTACAAAAGGTACATCCTTGAGATGAGGTGCGCTATGCCCCATTTTCCTGTTTGAATCCCCCGCATTTGTTGTGAATATGTGACTTGTGCGCAGTGCCGTGTAGCTTGTAATGTGTTTTTACCTTCCCCTGTCCATTGAGTTTCACTTTGTGATTTGTTTGTGCTCGTTTATTTGTTCCTCATTATTTTTTTTTCTCACCCTTCTCCCTCCTTATTTCCTCCTTCCCTCCCCCCCCCTGTCCATTCTTCAACCCCGTTTTCCATCCTTTTTTGCCATTTTTTTGTTTGTTGTCTGGCTTCATTTGCAACCCGTCACTCGGTATTTGTCCCGATCCTGCCCGTCTTGGCTTCCCACTGTGGGGGCAGCTGCAGCACGACTGAAAGCTTGATGTCTCCCGTTAAGCAGCTGCCAAGCAAGTCACCCTCTGATACGGAGGCTCTGGTTACCAATGCGCCCACTGGAACCATGCAGGTAAATGGCTTGTAGATGTGATAAGACTGCAGTGTGTAGAGCAATGAGACCTGGGATTATATCCTCAACAGATTATGAAAGACACTTCTGAGCACCAAGTGGGTTCAAGGTCAACCCATTAGTTAGAGCCTTACGAAAAAGTGAAACCTGTCAAGATTTCCACTCTGTCTGCCCCATGCGTGCCCTTGATGCAATAAATCTATGGTGGAGCAAGAGGACTATGCAGATTCATTATATTGGATGTTTGCTATCCATGTCAGGACTGAGCATGGTCTGAACCCTGCAGTTCTCTGGGCTTCAGGCCATGTAGAGTCCAACTCCCTTTCAGCAGCAAGCATTCGGTTTACATGCTTCTTCATACCTAGAAGTACTGAGTATTTACTTCACCTTCCAGCACTGGAGAGAGAGTAGCAATAGAGCGAAGGTAAGGTAAGTATGTGATATGGGGCAGTGGATTAAAGCAAACCTACTTGGGCATTGCACAGGTTTGCTTTAAGGGAATTGTGATCCTGTCATTTGGCTTTGAAATTACTGTAGATCTATGGTGGAATCCTGGTGAGGAGATCTCACTGGAGACCCTAAGACATATAAGAAGCTAGCTTCTGATTCAGTTTGCCAGCAACCATGCGACTTGTGAGGTGTTGCTGCTCAGGTGCTGTACTGTACATGCGCTTTGATTAACCAGGTCGGAGTATCTGCTAAGGGGCACACTTGTGGCATCCATCCCGTCCTGCAAATGGCAAGACGGAGGAGAATTGAGGGGTCAGCAGTTTCTGCGACTAGGCCCCAGTGCTGATCAGAGTAGCAAAAGAGCAAAGGAAAGATAAGTATATGATGTTTAAAATGGTTGTAAACTTCTGAAATGAAAAATGAAACTAAGCACATTCCTCTATGGTGTGTACTTGCCATGATCCAAAGCATCTAGTGTGATTTTTGTCCACTCTCACATTCCTCTATCTGCATATCTGTTCCTGCTGTCTGAATACAAAAGCACAATGGGTAAGATTCATCCATCCACTTCAAATGTGTTTTGAGAAAGTTGTTGTTCTTCTTTCTTCTTTCTTCCTTCTTCTTCCTTCTTCTTTACTGTCCTTCCCTTCTTCTTCCTTCTTCTTCTCCCTTCTTCTTCTTCTTCTCCCTTCTTCTTTCTTCTTCTCCCTTCCTTCTTTCTTCTTCTCCCTTCCTCTTCCTTCTTCTTCTTCTCCCTTCCTCTTCCTTCTCTCCCTTCCTCTTCCTTCTTCTCCTTCCTCTTCTTCTTCTCCCTTCCTCTTCCTTCTTCTCCCTTCCTCTTCCTTCTTCTCCCTTCCTCTTCCTTCTTCTCCCTTCCTCTTCCTTCTCTCCCTTCTATCTTCTCCTTCCTCTTCCTTCTTCTCCCTTCCTCTTCCTTCTTCTTCCCTTCCTCTTCCTTCTTCCTTCTCCCTTCCTTCTTTCTTCTTCTCCCTTCTTCTTTCTTCTTCTACCTTCTTCTTTCTCCTTCTCCCTTCTTCTTCTCTTCTTCTCCTTCTTCTTTCTCTTCCTTCTCTTCTTCTTCTTCTTCTCTTCCCTTCTCCCTTCTCTCCTTTCTTCTTCTCCTTCTTCTTCCTTCTTTCTTCTTCTCCTTCTTCTTCCTTCTTCTTCTTCTCTCCTTCTCCTTCCTTCTTCTCCTTCTTCTCCCTTCCTTCCTCTCTCCTTCTCCTTCTCTTCCTTCTCCTTCTCTTCCTTCTTCTTCTTCCTTCTTCTTCTTCTTCTTCTTCTTCCTTCCTTCTTCTTCTCCTTCTTCTTCCCTTCTCCCTTCCTTCTCTTCTTCCTTCTTCTTCTTCCCTTCTCCTTTCCTTCTTCTTCTTCTCCTTCTCCTTCCTTCCTTCTCCCCTTCTTCCCTTCTCCTTCTTCTTCTTCTCCCTTCTTTTTCCTTCTTCCTCCTTCTTTCTTCTTCCTTCCCTTCTCCCTCCTCCTTCTTCTTCTTCCCCCCTTCTCGATTCTTCCTTCTTCTCTTCCCCCTTCTCCTTCTTCTCCCTTCTCCTTCTTCTTCCTTCTTCCATTCCTTCTCCCTTCTCCCTTCTTTCTTCCTTCTCCTTCCTTCTTCTTCCTTCAGACCTCCCTTCTCCCTTCTTCTTCCTTCTCCTTCTCCCTTCTTCCTCCTTCTCCCTTCCAACGCCTGCCCTTTCTTCCTCCTTCCTCCTTTCCCCCTTCTTTTTCCTCCTTCTTCCTCCTTCTTTCCTTTCTTCCTCCTTCTTCCTCCTTCATCTTCAGACTTCCTTCTTCTTCCCCTCTAAATGATCAAAAAAGGGATCATCTATGGCTAGCCCAAGTTTTTTTTTAATATTTGCACTCTTAATCTGATACTAATGGAAGTTAAAGTGGAACTCCGGGGAATTAAAAGTCCCAACCCTTTTAAAAATATGCTGATTAAGTGCAACAAGGTGTACGCCATCTCATGGACTAACCCTAGGTTCACACCTATACAGGTTGCAGTTTGTGTTTTCCCAGGGTGTGTGTGCACCTTCAGACCCCAGAGCAGCCCCCAACGCCTGCACCTTCAGACCCCAGAGCTGTCCCAACGCCTGCACCTTCAGACCCCAGAGCAGTCCCAACGCCTGCACCTTCAGACCCCAGAGCAGTCCCAACGCCTGCACCTTCAGACCCCAGAGCAGTCCCAACGCCTGCACCTTCAGACCCCAGAGCAGCCCCAACGCCTGCACCTTCAGACCCCAGAGCAGTCCCAACGCCTGCACCTTCAGCCCAGAGCAGTCCCAACGCCTGCACCTTCAGACCCCAGAGCAGTCCCAACGCCTGCACCTTCAGACCCCAGAGCAGCCCCAACGCCTGCACCTTCAGACCCCAGAGCAGCCCCAACGCCTGCACCTTCAGACCCCAGAGCAGCCCCAACGCCTGCACCTTCAGACCCCAGAGCAGCCCCAACGCCTGCACCTTCAGACCCCAGAGCAGCCCCAACGCCTGCACCTTCAGACCCCAGAGCAGCCCCAACGCCTGCACCTTCAGACCCCAGAGCAGCCCCAACGCCTGCACCTTCAGACCCCAGAGCAGCCCCAACGCCTGCACCTTCAGACCCCAGAGCAGCCCCAACGCCTGCACCTTCAGACCCCAGAGCAGCCCCAACGCCTGCACCTTCAGACCCCCAGAGCAGCCCCCAACGCCTGCACCTTCAGACCCCAGAGCAGCCCCAACGCCTGCACCTTCAGAGCCCAGAGCAGCCCCAACGCCTGCACCTTCAGAGCAGCCCCAGCTCAGCCCCACTTCCTGCACCTTCAGGCAATTCTGCATCTCTGTATCTAGGAATGCAGGGTACAGCTGTAGACATACATTTAGGCTTGTGCACAGCAAACTGAAGTCCCCGGCTTCTGGTGGCCATTCCGTGCCTTTAGGAAGGTGGGTGGGCCTTTGTAATAGCCTAGTGAATTATCAGTTATGGCTAATTGCAGCATGTGCCATTTGAAAATGGCGTTCTATATCTGGGGTACCATCCCCTGTATTATTATTTCTTGTCCCCCCCCCCCCCCCCCCCCCCCCCCCCCATACCATATGGCTTCCAACTGCTTCAGTCTAGATTTCAAAAGGAAGCCTGGATTCTGAATGGTAGCTATGGAAAAACAAGAAAATTCTTATGGTACATTTCTCAATCCCCTCCCCCCCCCCCCCAATGTGTGCAGGCCCTTCTAATCCCCGAATTGCAGCTGCAGCACAAGCAGGTGTGTTCTGTTTTTTCTTCATGCAATCTGTGTGTGTGTGTCCTGTCCTGTTATCAGCCCTCCTCGCTGTGTGAGGGATGACTCCGCACTACTTTTCTCTGCAGGAATGTGTCTGTAGCGCAGTAGCTGGATGTCAGCTGGCACCATGCCTGTGTGTGGTTTTTTTTTTTTTTTTTTTCCCTTTTACTTTTTACTCATTATTTTGGCTCCTTTGCTGGCTGTTGCAATGATATTGGAAATTTATTTTTCAGCAGCAATAACTCAGTGGCTCCTTTCTAGAGAGCACTGCATATCTGGGCCTTAAAGAGGCATACACCCATATCAGATTCTAGACGTAGGTGAGACTACACCCATAACCGTATTAAACCCAAAAGAAACATTATATTGCAGCTTACCAAATCTTAGATGTGATGGCTGCATTAGTTTTCTTTTTTAGGCTTTCTTTCTTCTATTTTCGTCTGGTGATCTGGACAGTAAGTATGTTTTTCAAAAGAACAAAGCTGTCCTGATGTATCAGTTTGCAGAGATGAGACAAACTATTGACTGCTGACAGGGGTGCTTACAATGATCAGCTTTTGTAAAACCTTTATCCCAAAAGGAAAAACTGTTTACTGTAAAGTGTGAGCTGCAGTTTGGTTTCAATTTGTTAGTGTATCTAAACCTGCTAGTACATCTAACATCAAAGTCCCCTCGCCCAGACTGACAATGCTTTGTCCTAAGGCAGGGGTGGGCAACGGTGGCCCTCCAACTGTTGTAGAACTACAAGTCCCATGAGGCATTGCAAAACTGACAGTTACAACCATGACTCCCAAAGGCAGAGGCATGATGGGACTTGTAGTTCACCAACAGCTGGAGGGCCACATTTGCTCACCCCTGTCCTAAGGTGCTGCTTCATCTAGAGTGGGGGCGCTCTAATACAGGAGGTGTGTTACTGGCCAGATCACCATGTAAAAACATAGGGGAAAAAAGCCTAAAACAGAAAACTAATGCAGCCACCACATCAAATGATTGGTAAGCTGCAAAATGACATTTTTGGGTTTTATACTACTTTAAACCCTTGTAACCTCCATGACAAGAGAGAGATTTGTTCTTGATGCAACATTGTCCCATCTGAGCCCAGAGTTACCTCCTCCTCTTCCATTTAGGAAATGAAAAGGAACACAGGCTTACTTTTTTTTTTTTTTTAAATTTTTATTTGATTTTCCAATACAAAAAGAACAACAAATTTACAAAAATAATTCACATTCACCCCTGACCCCTCCCCTTTTTCCTCATCCACATCACAGGCTTACTCTTGATCAGGGGTGGACTGACCATTTGGAAACTCTGGCACTGCCCGAGGGCCCGGGGTCAGTAGGGGCCCCCCTTGAGATGCCCTTGGTACCTTTTTCATAGGCTTTTTTGAGTTTGGGCAAGGACACAGGGGCCCTATGATCCCCTAATGCCCGGGGGCCCATGAGTTGTCAGTCCGCCCCTGCTCTTGATCTATTTCTATATGATATCATCAAATATCCACCACCAGCTAAGGATCCACATTGTGATCTCTGATACTTAAAGTAGAGCTCTAGGCAAAACCTTTCTTTTTTCCATTTTGGATGGAGCATGGGAAGGTTATAACTTGTCAGATTTTTTTTTTTTTTTTTTTCCGCCATCTGCGCACCATTGCAGAGAATTCCCTTCATTTCCTGTCCCATAGCCAAACAGGAAGTCAGAGGAAATCCCTGCAAATTAAGGGAATTCCTTGGGCCCCCCCAGGTCACCAGATCTAGTGTCCCCATTGGAAGATTTCCCCTCTTATTACTTTTCTAGGCCCAATATTTTGGCCTTTCTTTGACTTTCAACGATAATGATAAACAGGAGAAATAGAGAGGGGGAATCTCCAAATTGGGGGCACAGACAGCGATAAAACCTGACAGGGGGTCTAATCCCTCTCCACTCCCTCTCCACTCCACCAAAACTAAAAACAAAGTTTTGCCTTTAGTTCTACTTTAATTTGGCGCAGAGAAGGAAGGTGGGGGAGGGGTGGGGGATGAGAGTCACTTCTCTTACTCATTAGCTGTGTGTGTAATCTGAACTCCAGTAAATCTGTTAGAAGAAGCCTAGAGCTCCAGTTCCTTGTTGAATGAGAAAATCTGTTTCTGTGCAATATTTTATCTTTAATGGTCCGTAGAACGGAAATGTAAAAAAAAAACACAATCTACTTCCTTTAAGGCTCCGTTCACACTAGCTTTGTCAGCAGGCGTCAGACAGGCGTTTGTGAAGTGTTTTTAACGCTTCTGAAACGCCTATGAAAATTCTACACATGGCAGCACACAGTGCTGTTCACACTAAAGTGTTAGTGTCGCGGCAAAACTGACGCCTCGTGTCCAGTCAGGAGGAGTTGAAGTCTCCCATTCAAGTCTATGGTGCCGCTCCGCAAACGCCTGGCAGGTGTTTGCGGTGCGGATGCGAGGAGTTAATACCATTAACTTCATTATAGGCTTTTTTGTGGTGCGGTTTTAACGCTTGGCAAACGCCTACCAACCGCCTTAAAACCGCGCATAGGGCGTTTGAGGAGCATTAAAAACGCTTCCCAAACGCCTGTAAATGCCTGTGAAATGCTATAGGGGTGTTTGGCAAGAGGCAGAAATGAAGTCAAGTGTGAACGAGCCCTAATACTGGGGGTCTTCAACAGGCTTTTCAACTCTCTGGGACTCTTGACTGAAATCTAGCTTTATACTCATTCAGGCCAGTTGAGTTGGTCTCACTTCTGCTGCTGCAGTTTTCATGATGAAGAATGCAAAAAAAAATGGTTTGAGGTGTGCTGAGGCACTGGGCTGATCTGGTAGGATGACTTCATATTCTGCAATAACGCATAAACCTAGCAAAAGTCTACCGAGGTTGGTGGGTTGGACTTGTTTTTTTGTTGGTGCGCTTAGAGAGATATGTAAGGTTGTGCCTCACCAGAATCCACAAGAAATAGAAATGTCAGTTTTGTGGTGAACTGCCACTTTAATCTGAATGTTCCATTGTTGTTAACGCCTCATTTTCTGCTTTTTTTTTTTTTTTTTTTTTTTTTTTTCCCATCTGCCAGGGGCCAGTAATCTACGCCCAGCTCGATCACTCAGGAAAACCAGGCAACCAGGTCAACAAATCAGAACGTGTGGTCTACGCTGACATCCGGAAGGTCTGCTGAGATCCCCCCGCCCCCTAAAGTGGACACAATATTGCAAAAAATAACTTTTAGTATGGACCCAATGTGGCACCATTGCCTTTTACAAAGCCATGTGTGACCTTGTCACTCGAGACCAATGTTTGTGACTCTAGAGAGGCCTATTAGTCTGTACAGGAGACCCCCCACCACCACCACCACCACCATCACAGAGTGCTTTTCCAATCTACCATCAACAGTCTGATGTGCCTTCACTTGTACAGCCTTCCAAACTGCCTTTGATCTCAAGTTTTAGGTTTTTCGTTTTTTTTTTTGGTTTTATTGTTTTATTATTTTTTTATAGTGCGAGAATTCAAATGCTACCTTGGGTTCCTGGTGCCCAACCTGTGGCCCTCGTCCTCCTACAGTACGTAGCAGAGGTTGAACCATTGATTTGTAAAGCAGTGATCTTTGTTAGCCTCATGTAAGGTGTCCCCAGCCTTCTGCAAGTAGGCTTCCAGTCTTCAACCAAACCTGTAGTGTGGCCCTCGTCCTCCTACAGTACGTAGCAGAGGTTGAACCATTGATTTGTAAAGCAGTGACCTTTGCTAGCCTCACATAAGGTGTCCCCAGTCTTCTGCAGTAGGCTTCCAGTCTTCAACCAAACCTCCTACAGTGGTAGCAGAGGTTGAACCATTGATTTGTAAAGCAGTGATCCTACACGTAAGGTGTCCCCGTCTTAGCAGATGCTTCCAGAACCAAACCTGGTAGTGTGGCCTTCATCCTCCTGTACGTAGCAGAGGTTGTGACCATTGATTTGTAAAGCTAGTGATCTTTGCTAGCCTCACGTAAGGTGTCCCCAGTCTTCTGCAGTATGCTTCCAGTCTTCAACCAAACCTGGTAGTGTGGCCTTCATCCTCCTACAGTACGTAGCAGAGGTTGAACCATTGATTTGTAAAGCAGTGACCTTTGCTAGCCTCATGTAAGGTGACCCCAGTCTTCTGCAGTAGGCTTCCAGTCTTCAACCAAACCTCCTACAGTACATAGCAGAGGTTGAACCATTGATTTGTAAAGCAGTGACCTTTGCTAGCCTCATGTAAGGTGTCCCCAGTCTTCTGCAGTAGGCTTCCAGTCTTCAACCAAACCTGGTAGTGTGGCCTTCATCCTCCTACAGTACGTAGCAGAGGTTGAACCATTGATTTGTAAAGCACTGATCTTTGCTAGCCTCATGTAAGGTGTCCCCAGTCTTCTGCAGTATGCTTCCAGTCTTCAACCAAACCTGGTAGTGTCCATAATCTCCTCTAGTATGTCTGCAGTCAGTGACTGTCCTCTCCAGCATTACATCTACTGTGGCCCTTTGGTAATGTCAATTGAAGCTTCTGCACCACTTCATAATTTGACAACCACTTTTCATGACCTAGTGTGAAAAACGAAAAATCCCACATGCTGTCCTAGGGTGGTGGTGGTGGTGGGGGGTGGGTTTTGGTTGGCAACATGTTAGAGCGCGTTGAAAAGGTGGAGTTACCCTTTAAAAGTATATCTGTTATCTGGTGTTCTGTTCCTGGAACATTTCGATCCCTGCCTTGAAATCCTTGAATGGAATCCTATACATTCCTGTAAATATATTGTACTAAAAACCACATTCCGTTCAGCACCCATAGATAACATTGTGTACAGATGCCTTAAGTATTTATTCAAGTTCAAAAATGCATAAAGGAAATGCAGTGTACCCTGTTCAATGTATTTAGTATTTTTTTTTTTTTTTTTTTAACCAGTTGCTGTAATGCACCAGTCCATCCGCTCCCCCTTTTCATGCTGATCTGAGAACCCCTCTTTGTGAAGCTGGAGAGACATTCCTAAACACTCCCACAGCAAGCAACCAATCAGATCTGCTTTGAAAGCTTAAATGTGATTGGTGATAGAAACAAAGCACTGGCTTCAGGACGTACACTCCCATTGGCTCAGTGAGGTACCCTCTGGATTGAGCCTGCAGTGAAATACAGACCCAGAATTGAAAGTAAGAAATAACGAGGCTGCAAAGGTTGACCATCTTCTGAAAATGCAGATTGCCTGGACACTTTGCTGCTCCAACAATGTCCCAGAACAAGTATTGGTCAGGAAAGGCACAGTCCTGCAAAGTCCCTATCTGCTGAATCTATCTATGGCCTGATAAAATAATTAGAATCCCCTCCTCCACCCCAACTGATAAGGGACATATTGCTCATTTTGGCTGGGCGGTAACACTTTGCCCGTACACAGTCCATCCCTTTCTCATTCCAGTGCTGGAATGTGGTCCCGTATCGGCATGTACAGTGGAATACCAGCAGCCATGTCATCCAGGTAGGACGCGGCTCCTACTCCTGAATTGTATGTGATGTTCGCAAGAGGGGCAGCGATGAGACCAGCAAGAAAGGCAGCTTTGGGGGACCGATTGTCACAGCCAGAGCATTGATGAGGACTTTTGCCAGGACTGTGGTCTAAAAGTGGTTCTAAGGGTTTTTTTTTTCACCTTAATGAATTCTACGCATTAAGGTAAAAAAACCTTCCCTGTGTATCTCCCCCCCCCCTTATACTCACCTGACCCCGATCTCTACCCAGCGATGCATGAGAGCAGCAGCTCTCTTCTTTCTTCCTCCTCATTGGCTCAGAGACAGCAGCAGGTGCCATTAGCTCCCACTGCTGTCCATTATAGCCAGTGAGGGGAAAGCTGGACCACCTGTGCTTTGTGTGTCAATGGAGCGAGCCTGCACAAGTGTCCCCATAGCAAGCTGCTTGCAATGGGGGCACTGGGAAGGGGAGTGCCATGAGAAGGACCCAAGAAAGAGATTGGGGCTGCTCTGCACAAAACCATTGCGCAGAGCAGGTTAAGTATAACCTATTTCTTACTTTTTAAAAAAAATTATATATACATTCTTCATCAACTGGGCCAGAGGAACGACCATTAACCCCTTGACACCAACGTAACACAAACATGCGGCCTCACAGAATTGGACTTTTTTCTGTGGGGCCACACAGCGCACTCCCAGCAGAAAGACCGGGGTGTCACTGAGAGCCCATTTACCACCAAATGAAAGCCCAATTTGTCTGGAAACAAACGCGGTATAATCCACCTGGATGTACAAAGTAGTTGTGATGATATGTACGGTTTTACTATCACATGTCAACGTTGCAAAATTGTGCTTAGGCATTTAGATTTGTTTTCCCTCTTAGGCGTGAAGGGGTTAAGTATTTAATGACTGCCCAGAGTTGGTCTTTAAGCTAGCCGAGTTACCTTTATATTAGCCCAGTTGCAGTGTCTCCCGGCTTCACCTTTACCTGTCATTGATTGCTTTTAATACATTCCCTGGAAAGGCTGTTGAACACACTACTAGCACATTGCACAAGTGCGGGTGCAAAACATGAACGCTTGTCTGAATGGACTGTTAATGCTTGTACAGTTATGTACACTATATCTGGTGCTGGGGGTCTCGGCTAAAATGAGGCTGTTTGTTAAAAAGGGGAAATAGACCTTTAAGTACCTGACACACCCCCCCCCCCCCCCCCCCCCATGGCAGTTATTTACTAAACCTGAAGAGTGCAAAATCTTGTGCAGCTCTGCATATAAACCAACCAGCTTCCAGATTTTACCCTTCATGACCAGGCCAATTTTTGCTATGCGGTACTTCGGTACTTGTAATTGTGTGGTCACACAATGCTGTACCCAAACATTTATACCATTTTTTTTCAAACAGAGCTTTCTTTTGGTGGTAATTGATCACCACTGGGTTTTTTATTTTTTAAAATTTTGAAGAAAAAAAAATTTTTTTTGGTTTCTGCTATAAAACCTATCCAATAAAAAAAAAAAAAAAATTCATAAATTTTGGCCAAAATGTATTCTGCTACCTGTCTTTGGTATATAAAAAAAATCCCAGTAAGTGTATATTGATTTACATGAAAGTTGTAGCGTCTGCAAACTTGGGTGTGTATTTGTGTATACAGTGTGTGTGTGTCTATGTGTCTATATATATATATATATATATATATATATATATATATATATATATATATATATATATATATATATATATATACACACACACACACAATGGTGTGTGTGTGTGTGTATATACACATGTTTTTGGTTTTTTTTAAATGGGACCGTAATAGTGCAGTGGGCAATCTGACACTAACTGACATTTGGGGGGGGGGGGGGGAAACTGACTAAGTGGTATTGACATCATTATTGGCCCTAATACAGTGATAATACTATACACCAGGAGTGTCAAACTGGCGGCCCTCCAGCTGTTGCAAAACTACAAGTCCCATCATGCCTCTGCCTTGGGAGTCATGCTTGTAGCTGTCAGTCTTGCAATGCCTCATGGGACTTGTAGTTTGGCAACAGCTGGAGGGCTGTCAGTTTGACACCTGTGCTATACACTGTCACTGTACTAATGACACTGGCTGTGAAGGGGTTAACAGGTCCTGGCCGTAAATCATTGGCTGGGACTTGTTGACAAAATCTTGCTGTGTAGTCACAGTGGGGGGGGGGGGGGGGTGCGGGTGTGCATGTGTACACCCTAAACCCAGAAGCAAGCAGCAAAGTACCTGTACTTCACATTGCCTGCGAGGGCTGCCCGTCCGCAGTACATTGTGGACTGGCGGTCCAAGTAGTTGATTGAACAAGCTGATGCTAGAAGATGATTGGCTACCATGCAGAGCTGCACCAGATTCTGAGTGCTCCAGTTGTAGTAAATCCCCCCCATATCTCGGTTTCTGGATATCCTGCAGTAATCTCTCACAGCATGCCTACAAAACGCCCCCCCCCCAGGATTGTAGCAGCAGTGGACTTGCTGTGCAAGCTGCCCAAGCTATCTTCCGTTTTAAGGCGGAGCTCCCCTTGCTCCATGTAGTACCACAGCACCGCGAAGGGGTCTCAAACGCAGAAACAAAATGGCTTTCTTGGCCAACACCGCCATAAATCTGCCCTGCCCAAAGCTAACTTCCTGCCTTCTCTTCTCGATGGACTGAATTCTAAACATGTAAATAAACTATTTAATCGTAAATATCACAAAGGCCGATGATGCATGAGTATGCTTTAGCCATATTTTTTATAAGATATTTAATATAATAAAAAAAAAAAAAGAAAAAATGTTCAACTGGATGTTTTTGAGAAGGTATCTTTTTTTTTTTTTTTTTTTCGCAGTTTGAGAAATGAAAACCGATTGTGGAGATCGGGACGAGAGGAGAAGGAAGGTTCAGGTTTTCCATGTAATGAAATGACATAGACTGAATCACAAATTTGCATTAAAACGTTGGGCGCTTCCTTGATGTGACGCTAGTCGTGTGCATTTTTTGAAAGCTGTGTTGCAGGTAAAAAAAAAAAGACAATGGAGAAGGCATCCTCTGTATTGGCTGGGAGTCAGTCAGGTTGGGGAGCTGCAAGCTCTCAGTGCCCCATGCTTGCCTTCAGTGCCTGATGCCTCCCCAATCAGCTCTCTATCACCCAAGGGTCAAAAATAGTATATAAAAGAATGAGTGTCACAGTTTATACTAAGCCTAATAAAGGTTTCTTTGTCCTGATAACGGGTGACTTGCCATCATTACATCATATATATTGCTGTCTGGCATACTGCAATAACTAACCAACACTCAAACCCTGATGGTGTGGTGAGCCCCCTGAAAAGTGTTGGGCTATATCCTCCCACCTGTTACAATAAATCCATTTTTCTGGACTTAGTACAACCTGTAGTCCTCTCATCCTCTAATATACTATTTTTTATTTTTTTTCCCAAAGTACTTGGCTCTTTGCAAATGTAAAGGATGCTCTTTCCTCTTCCAGGCTTCTTAAATGTCAGCTTCCAATGTGTGTAAGCTATATAAGTTGCTTGGGTGCCATAAGGCAACATGTAAGTAGTGTAAAGTTGTACAATGCCTTTATTTTTTCACTTGTATCTTGTATTTCAATGTGTTCCCCCCCCCCCCCCCCCCCTCCAAGTATGAGTGATCATTTGTCTTTAAGCTAAATATTTTTGAACACTTCTGATTTCTGCAATACTGTTGCAGAACCCAAAAAAGTGTTACTAAACCCAGGACCCTGCATTCACTATACAGTCATGGCCAAAAATATTAGCACCCCTGCATTCACTACATCTGCTCTCCCCGGACCTGCATTTACTATATCCGGTCTCCCCGGACCCTGCATTCATTATATCTGCTCTCCCCGGACCCTGCATTCATTATATCTGCTCTCCCCGGACCCTGCGTTCACTATATCTGGTCTCCCCGGACCCTGCGTTCACTATATCTGGTCTCCCCGGACCCTGCATTCACTATATCTGGTCTCCCCGGACCCTGCATTCACTATAGCCGGTCTCCTCAGACTCTGCATTCACTATATCTGCTCTCCCCCGGACCCTGCATTCACTATATCTGGTCTCCTCAGACCCTGCATTCACTATATCTGGTCTCCTCGGACCCTGCATTCACTATATCTAGTCTCCCCGGACCCTGCATTCACTATATCTGGTCTCCCCGGACCCTGCATTCACTATATCCGGTCTCCCCTCGGACCCTGCATTCACTATATCTGGTCTCCTCCCCCGGACCCTGCATTCACTATAGCTGGTCTCCTCGGACCCTGCATTCACTATATCCGGTCTCCCCGGACCCTGCATTCACTATATCCGGTCTCCCCGGACCCTGCATTCACTATATCCGGTCTCCCCGGGACCCTGCATTCACTATATCTGGTCTCCCCGGACCCTGCATTCACTATATCTGGTCTCCCCCGGCCCTGCATTCACTATATCTGGTCTCCCCGGACCCTGCATTCACTATATCTGGTCTCCCACAGTACACTGAACATGGAAAAGCAATTATTGTAGTAAATATAAACTGCTAAATACCTTTATTCATAAGCAGTCTTGTGACTTCTATCAGTGTCCAGCTGAGCACTGGTTTAAAGCTTATAGGAGGAGTTTTCATTATTATCTGACTGTCCTATGATGCTGTATAACTCCTGGCCCCTAACTTGTCTGGACAGTGCTGATTGGCCCTGTGCTGATTACATGCACCCTTCCCAAAAACTGAGCATGTGCAGCTTGCCCCCAAGGCTCTGTTCTATCAGCAGATGGATTGGGACAAGTAGAAAAGCTTGTAGGAGGAGTTTTCATTCTCCCCTATTAGGCGTCATAAACCCCTGATCCTCTGTCTGAACAGCATTGATTGGCCCTGTGCTGATCACATGCGCTCTCCCAAGAAAAAAAAAACTGTCTAGCAATACACACCAAACTGAGCATGTGCCGCTTGCCCCCAAGGCTCTGTACTATGGCAGATGAATTGGGAACAGTAGAAGGGGGAGGATCAGAGAAGACTGGATCAAACAGCTTTTTTACACAATGCAGAGGATTAACCCCTTAGGTTCCACAGTGAGTATAACAAGCATGCTTTACTGCATCTACAGACTGATTGCACTGTTGTGGGTTTAGTAACACTTTAAGTACCCCGTTGCAATGATTTTTACACTGAGAATTTGGACCTGATTATTTGTATGTTATGTTTCTTGTCTGTTTGTCGCAGTGCGTTCCACTTCATGTCTTAATTATTGTTTGGGTTGTCTTACGGCGTTATGTTCGGTCAGATGGTTTGTAGAAAATGTTTGCTAAAGCTGGTTGGTAAACTTGCAGAATCCCCATCAGATCTGCAGATTGCGACCAATAATGCATTCAGCGTCTAGGTGTGTTGGGATGTAAAGAAGGGACAACCATGATACAAAACCTCAACCAGACGACCTCTGCGCGTTGATCCGCGCAAGTCTGAAAAGCAGCCGGCTTTGCCGCAGGACGTTGTATGGGACAGAAGAACTGTAAGCGCGTTCTGCCATCACAGTCAAATGGCATTCGTTACAGGTGCTCTTTGTTAGAATACTATGTCATGTGACCGAATACCATGTGACCGAATACCATGTTATGTATCATGGATAAGAACATATCTTCATTATTTACTTTTCAGTTTGGCTGCTGCCTTGTTTCAATGTTGCCATATCTGCTGTTTTTTATATTTTCAATAAATTTTTTTTTTTTTTTCTTTTGCTGGATTCCAATTCACTTATGTTAACTGGAATTGTATTTTTTTTGTTTGTTTTTTTTTGGGATTGCATTTTATATGTTGCCCTCTGTGAAACCTGCATGGCCTTGACTTTGGATGTTGGACACTCAGCCTCAGCGGAAGCTGCCCCGGGCCGGCCTATGCAGTACATGCTGTATGAATGCAATTGTAAAAATTGATATTTTTCTGTATTTTTTACAGGTAATTATACTGGAATAAACTATGTTTAAAACTTTCCTGGAGTGTGGTGGGGTTTGTGTTGGTTAGCGCTTGAGCTTTAGTGTCAGTTCACACTACATGCGTTTTGTGTGCTTTTTTTTTTTTCTGCATCCAAAACGCCCAGAAAGTAGGTTATATGGTTGTCAATGTCATAGTTCACATCAGTGCTTGCCGTTCCAGTGCGTTCCGGATGCAGTAAAAAAAAAAAAAAACAGGCTGCATTTTGTTTCTGCACACAGCTGTACTGAAAGGAGGTAAAACACATCAAAAATACACTGGAGTACACATGTCCCTATTTAAAAATTAAAAAGAAAAAGGGGAAAAAATTAACCAGAGCACATCAAAAGCACACTGGAACATGCCAAAAATATGTAAAAAAAAATGCATGCAAAATCGCATCTGGACTGCGATTCTCTGGTGTCAACTGGCCCTTAGTGGAGTCTGCATACTAAACAATTGGCCACTTCCAAACATTTGTTTTACAAACATTTTTATTGATTCTTTAATCATTTGCCGGCCGCCCTATGGCCGAATGGCGGCCGGCAAATGTCATCCGCGTTCCAGGTGGACGCCATATGGCGTCCTCTCGCACATGTGCAAATTGCGCTTCGCAGAGCTACGCAACCTGTCACCGGCCGTGTACCTCGGCCACGGCCGATGACAGATCTGAGTACCGGCCCCCGTTGCCGGTATCGTGACCTGCTGTGACCAATCACAGCAGGTCACAAGACAGTTGTATACAATGGATGGCTTCATTCATGCCATCCATTGTATACTAGTACCTAGCTGTGAATGGTCACAGCTAATCACATGCACATGTCATGTGATTATCTGTGGCCAAATCACAGCTAAGCACAAAAAAAAAAAAAAAAAAACCTGAATGAATCGATGTCATTCAGGGAAATGCTTGCTTATAGTAAAGTAATTCTTTGCTATAAGCAAATTGTGAAAAAGAAAAAAAAAAAAAAATACTGATCACTTCCCCAAAGTAGTACAATGTTACTATGGTAACATTGTACTACTTTGGTCATAGTGAAAAATGAAGAAAAAATGAGAAAAAAAAAAAAAAAAAAAAAAAATTATATTTTATATATATATATATATATATAATTTTTTTTTTTTTCATACGGTCACCAGTCAGTGTCCCTGATCACCGCCATGCCAGTTATATGATGACGCTGTACTGCACTGGTGACAATATGTAAAAAAAAAAAAATAGTGAAACTAATTTTTTTAATTTTTTAATTTTCCGAAAAATTTTGGCAAAAAAAATACAACTTCAGAAAACTTGCCATTCCTCTTATGAAGTACGTCGGACTGTCTACTCTGCAAAAAGGGGTCATTTGGGGGATATCTGTCCTGTTCTGACATTTGGGGGATATCTGTACTGTTCTGACATTTGGGGGATATATGTACTGTTCTGATATTTGGGGGATATTCTTCTGTACTGTCCTGACATTTGGGGGATATCTGTACTGTTCTGACATTTGGGGGATATCTGTACTCTCCTGACATTTGGGGGATATCTGTACTCTCCTGACATTTGGGGGATATCTGTCCTGTTCTGACATTTGGGGGATATCTGTCCTGTTCTGACATTTGGGGGATATCTGTCCTGTTCTGACATTTGGGGGATATCTGTACTGTCCTGACATTTGGGGGATATCTGTCCTGTTCTGACATTTGGGGGATATCTGTACTGTTCTGACATTTGGGGGATATCTGTACTGTCCTGACATTTGGGGATATCTGTACTATTCTGACATTCTTGGACCTCAAGAAATTAGATTGGCTGTCAGTACTTCAGGATTGATCAATAATCAGATCTATACCATAGTTTGTGAACTCTATAACTTTCCTACAAACTAAATAATACATCCTAATTTGGGTTATTTTCACCAAAGACATGTAGCAGAATACATCTCGGCCTAAATTTATGAAGAACAATTATTTATTTGTAAACTTTTATAACAGAAACAAAGAAAAACGTGTGTTTTTTTTCTACATTTTTGGTCTTTTTTTGTTAATTTAGCAAAAAATAAAAACCCCAGCGGTGATTAAATACCACCAAAAAGAAAGCTCTAGTTGTGTGAAGAAAATGATAAAATTTTAGTTTGGGTACAATGTTGTATGACCGCGCAATTGTCATTCAAAGTGTGAAAGCGCTGAAACCTGAAAACTGGCCTGGGCAGGAAGGGGGAAAATTGCCCGGTATGGAAATGGTTAAAAATTAAAAAGAAAAAGAGAAGGGAAAAAATTAACCAGAACACATCAAAAGCGCACTGGAACATGCCAAAAAATATGTAAAAAAAAATGCATGCAAAATCGCATTTGGACTGCGATTCTCTGGTGTCAACTGGCCCTTAGTGGAGTCTGCATACTAAACAATTGGCCACTTCCAAAGATTTGTTTTACATTTTTATTGATTCTTTAAGTAGGGATGCGTCGATATATTGGCGACCTAAACGTATCGGCTGAAAATAGTGTTAAGCAGGCCATACGTGGGTCGAATTTCAAACATTTTTTGATGGAAAACAATGTTCGTTCCGTAATCCAATGGTGCCACCAATGATTTTGAAAATCGGTAATTTTTTTACGAATTTTCCAACATGCCTGATAAACGAAATGGGGAGGAACCACGAAAATCAGCCGGTGCCATTGCCCCGCTAACGGAGCGAAAGTTGGTCGATTATTCTTAGGTCAGATTTTCAAACGAAAAATCGTTCGAAAATCGACCCATGTATGGCCGGCCTTATCAGCACAAATATGTCGTAAATCCTCCTGCGCTGCTATACCTAATAAAGATAAAACAGCAGCTAACATCCAATCCTCACCTTTAGATGGATATAGTTAATATAGTAATGATGTAGCGCTATAGATAATATTGTGACCTTTTGTTTGGTACAAAATTGCTTCTAAAATACTAGATATTTTTAGATCAACCAAATTTATACTGGTGACAATTGTGGGTGATTAGTGCAATATAGATCAAACCTAAATATCCAAGTGACTATTCCAACATTACCGTGACACACAGAGATTCCCTGTGTAGGGATAGAAGTCCCCTTGTATAGATGGTCTATAAAAGTTGAACAGCAGTGATCTATAAAATGTCTATAGCACTGTTCAACAATTTTTTATTTTTTGCCAGTTTTGGAAACAAAAGGATCCATTTCTTAATGAATTTCACATTCTGAGTTCAAATATAACAATGAAATTTGTCAATTTGCTCTAGTTTTTCTGTAAACGGAAAGTTTTCTACTATAGGCGTAATGACTACATAATGCACAATAATTATATAGATAGATGTCTTTCCACAAATATAAAGCAAGTGATATTGACTACATAACAAAGCCTAAATGGCATAATATATTGCATAGGATTACCAAGAAAAATTATAGCCATAAGCTAAGTTGAATCATTTTAATACTTAGGATTCTCACTAGTTTTGTCTTCAGTTTGTGTCGGTTTTGCTTCTCTTGGCTTTTCTCTT